TCAACCAGTCAACCAGTCATTCGGGCCACAATACAAAAATGCGCAAAAAAAAAATCAACCGCAGGAAGCCCGGGGATAAAGCCAATATCCCGAGTGGATTTCCCAGATCCCCGATCCCCAGTCGAGTGTAAAATGTTTTGCGGTCATTTTAATATAAAATAATTAATTTCTGCGTAAATATTTATAACAGCAAAAATGTGCCGCATAATTGATATGTTTGCCGAAAAGGCACACACAGCGAAATAAATCTAAACAAAAGCAGTGGGATCATAAATGTTCTATGAGCTATGTAGATTTTTTATTTATTTTGTAAAATGAAATAACTTTTATGCCAAAGTGAACAAAAATATGGACTTTAATTGCAGTTTGCAGCATTGAAAAAACATGCCTTTCAATTAATTCTGGTGAAAGCACTTTAATTAAGATTATTTAATGCATCTGTTTATACATTTTATATGTAGGCCTTTTAGGAACTTCTTGAAAAATAAGAATCTGCAATTATTTTCAGTGAAAACCAACCCTGTGTGAAAACCCGGAAACAGAAGACTGGCATTTCCAGGACGAAACCAAAAAGCCTCATATCTGTTTGATTTGTCCAATTGTGCATTGTTATTGGCAGTCATCACTCCAGCCGTTTCAATTCAATCATTACGAAATGAAATAAGCATAATGAAATGCAATATAAATGCATTAAATGCATCTGCTGTCGAGCCAAATCAATTTCATTCCGGCAATTTCTCCATGCGAAATTATTGAAATTATTGATGCCCATATTTATATGTACATATATGTACAATCCATGGAAGGGAATGTGGGCCTCGGGTTTTCGGTGCGGTTCGCTGTTTGGGGAATTGTGGTCATTTTTCGCAATTAAAAGCTTTACACATTTTGCAATCAATATATGAAATAATTAAATAAAATGTCGCTTAATTAAATTGGCACGACCTTTTTTTCGATGTGATGGCTTTTGCCGAGGCATGATGATGATGATTCAAGTGATAAGCACAAAAAATACAGAAGCCAAGGCAGCTGAAGCCCGAGGAATGCGTTTAATTTGTGTGATGAGTTAAGTTAAATATACCCTACATTAATGGGAATTTATGGTAGAAAGATGTGGTTTGTAGCAAAAAATTTGGCAATTTTAAGAGAAAGTAAAATAATAAATACACTTATTCCTAAAATATTTGATTTTAAGGATTTTATTGGAAATCAAAATTAAATTATCGCTAAAATTGATTAAACCTATAATTTTTTGAAATGATATTTATATTTTAAAATTTTTAAAACAGCCGCAACTTGATATATGTTACATAAGATAAGATTAGATGATGTATTTTGTATCTTCTGATTAAATTTTTTTTAGTTTTTATTCAAAGGTATACATTCGGTAAAGAAAAGAGTATTAATTAGTTCGATAATTCCCAATCCCACATTTTCGCCTCTTATTTACGCATCTGAGCTCCAATTCTCACATTCGCACATCACAAAAATGTGACAGCTAGTTAGTGTCGAAAAGAGCAGTCCGCGGCTCGCAGTTGGCCAATTAAATTCAATTGAAGTTTTCTTTTTTTTTTTTTTTGGTTTCTGTAGGCCGCTGGCTTCTGTTTATTTGTTTACTCTTTAACGCCTGCGCGCGTGCCTCAATTTAGTGGTCCGAAGTTGGAGCGTTTTTAATGCATTTTGCCACATCGGCGGCCAGGCGATAGGCAAATTAGCCTGCTAATAAAGGGGGGCTTTTTTCGCCGTGTAGCCGCTGTGTGCCGCCTGTCAGCATATCAACGCAATTTGTGCACTCGCCAATAGACGAGGCCGCGCAGCCAAGACGGCGGCAAATTATGGCCAGCGATGCTCGGCGACTGCGCAAAGTGCCTCATAAATTCACGTCGCTGATGAAGTGATAGTGCGAGGAGCAGGAGTACGGGTACGGCCAAAAAGCGGCTAAGGAGTCGCATAGGCAGCCTAAGATTCAGATCCAACTATAACCAAGGCTACACTGTAAAAGAAATCTAAAAAAAAGCACAAGAATGTTCAGATATTGATGCTCCAGAAAAAATACTTCATTTTCTAATCCCAGAACTATTGATAGTCTCTATAAAGAATGGCAGTCCGTAGTGATCTATTATTATTCAAAAAGTTATAGAAAAAAAAACTTTAGTACTTAAACTTTAGGTACCTTTAAGACTAATTTTTTTAAATTTATTATTATATCCAAGATTTATTTTTTCCTGTGCATGCCGCAGATTGTTTATTGCAGAGCTATGACTTGACCAGAAAAATCAGCAGAAAAAGATCCAACACAACAACATAGTTGCTCAATGGGCCAACTAATGTGCTGTAGATAGGAAATAAAGGGGAAGCCATTAGAAAGTGCAAAAACAAATTGGCTGCAATCGCGAATTATATAAGCCGTCTTTCACTAGCAACAAGTGCTTCTAATGTGGAAGGAAAAGCCTACAAACGTTATATAATAATGTTTCATGGCTGGATTATATACAACTTTTACAAAAACGAAAGATCATTATAAAGTTTCTTTACCTAAAAATTAAAAACAATATTTAAAATTATATTTGTTTACGACTAAACTTAAAAATGATTTAAAAAACAAATAATTCTCGGGTTGTTTTACTTTTTTATGTACTCTCAACTCAACACTCAAGAATCTGTGCACCAAATTTTAATTTTGAATCAAATGCGAATTCCTTTTTGATTGTAAAACAAAGGTTATCCACTGTCTCACTTCCCTATTCATTTGATTGATTTATCCCTGCCATTGACACAGTTTTCCCGGTAATCTCGGCTGGCTTACAACACTTTTTGGCCCTGGTCCATTGTCAGAGGTCCTGGCTATTAACCGACCTTCGACGGAGGCCAAGGACAATGGCAGGACGAGGCGCGTAATTGAAAGTACGCGACCAAGTTGTAAAGCAGATGTAAGGACATCAAGTGTCTGTCGCTCGAAGCCGTTGAAAAAAACTCAAGAAGAATTTACCATAATAAAAATAGCTAACGCCCAGCCCGAGATTCAAGACTCAAGATTCAGTGAGATGCCATAAGCACAAAGGCAAACTGTAGATAAAAATTCAATAAGCCAGGCCAAGAGCCCAGGAGCAGGACACGCCAGCCGAGACCGTTAAGCCTGAACAAGGGGCAGGGGGTCTGCGGTTGGGATTTTGTGGCCAATAAATAAAATTAATACGAACGCACTTGAGCACAACTTGACCAGGGAGCAGGTCTTCGACGGAAGGACTCCGCTTTTTTTCTGAGGTTTTTTCTACCCATCTTCTCCTTCTGCTCAGCATTTTTTCCTCCATTTTCTACTGTGTGTTTTGTTTGTTGACTTGTTGAATGAGCCGAAGACCAAGGGCCAGGAACAGGCCAACTGTTGACTGGCACTTGCAGCCTTATGGCCAAGCCGATATTGAAGGTAAATAGAGATGAGAACTGAGAGCTTAAAGTTGAGACGAGAAAAGTGCTCAAACTGTTGAGGTAAATTCAAGTAAGTTAAGAGCTATCTGATTTTATTTATTAAAGGGTAAGAATATTTACCAAGTTGTCTTAAAAGTTGATAGTTTAAAGGGTTTATAATAATACATTTTCTAAGCAAAGATTACGCGTAAATTTAGGTTTTGTAGTTCAAATTCTTAATAATTATCTCAAAAACATTCTATTTATTATTTTTAAGGTAAAATTATAAATATTTTATCATATCTTACTGACTTGATGATCACATAAAATATCTTTAATCATTAATTTAACTATATCTGCTCATATAATCATGAATGGAAAGCGCAATCAACATAAAACTTCCGTATCCAAGTCAATTATGATTACAGACTAAACTTTCACCTCATTCAGGAAAATATACTGCCAATTGCACACCGTAATTCTGGCATCCCGAAATTCTCAAGGCGTTCCCACAATGCATTCATAAAATAGTCAATTCCAGGGTGCAACTTTGCGGCATCCGCAGTGTGGCAATTGGAAGGCTGACACGTTGATGACCCCCCAATTGAACTGCCATAAGAAATCACTCTGCGAGGCAGAGGATTATTTGTGGGGGGGGTGTTGGGGAGCAAGAAGTGGGTGGATTGGATTGAGGGGGTTAACTCTGCACCGCCCACTTTCAACACTTGCCACAACAATGGTGCGCAAATATTTACCAGCCAGCCGCAGCAAAAAGGCAAAGGCATCGGATCAGCGGCTTGAGTCTCAGCCTCAATTTGAAATCCAATAAAATTTAATTGGAAACTTCATCACGGGTGCGAAAATTCACACTCTAAGCCAAAGCGGCACGACTTGGCTGCCGTTTGCCGTAAATCTATTGGCCAAGGCTTTTCCAGTTCCCAGTTCCTAACCCCCCCAAAACCCCACAAAAAAGAAAACCCCAGCCCCCTTCGATATATCCACACTATCCACACGGTTCGTTTTGCACCTGGCGGCGTTTCTCTTGGGGAAGCATCGCGATAAGGAAATATTTTTCATACGGTCGGTCGGTGGGGTGTGCATTTCGTTCCATTCCATTCCGTTATTGGCCATGGCAATATATGGCTTATTTATGATTTTCCTTTTGCCATGCCATATCTCTCTGGTCCATTGTCGACATTAATCGCTTTGCTCCGCTGAAAAGTATAACATGAAATTGGGATTGATTTATGTTATAATTACAAAAGCCAGACGCATATTAGGGGGCCGCAGAGGAGAGCAAACAGTGGGGCTGGCTATACAGATATAGATCTACACTCTGAAATTAAAATTGTATTCTTTTAAAAATTTAAAAGATTTTTTGATGAATACAAATACGTTATTAATATTTTGAGGCAAATTCCTGTTTCAATAATTGAACAAAAAATGTTATTAAATCACTAGTTTAAGAAATCATTTTTCATCGGTATAATCAAAAATATTTTATAAGCAAACGCATGGTTATATGATTTAACTGAAAATTGGAGTTATCCCTGACCAATAAAAATTTACGTGTATGTTAATTATGAAAAATTTCCTATATTATTTTCTATTCCTGTATCATAACTTTACAATTTGGAAAGCTCTTGGTCGAATCGACTGAAATCAATCCAACCAGAGAAGAAATCAAAAGGAGTATTGTGTGTGCTGATTAAAAGTCTTCAGTGAAATGTCCGGTTTGCTTTCTTTTTCTGTTTGTTGCTAGTTGGTGATGGTGTGGGGCACTAAGTAGCGGGGTCCTCGATAAAGTCCCACCAGTCCTTTTCGTAACCCTCCCTCACGTGGCACAGGAGAACATGCCGTCGCTTTTGGCAGTAGTGCGATAGGTCGAGGACCTTCTGCTTGACTTCGTACAGATTTTTAACCGTAATCTCACGCTCCAAACACTCGGAGATCTTCTCAGTGGCCATTTCCATATCCCGCTGATTATCCTCGAATATGATCTTCTGATTGTTGTTCATCAGGTAGAAGGCGAAGACATAGCTGTACATCAGGGTGGTACGGCAATGGCATAGAACATCGACGGCATCGCGTAGAAACTGGACCTCAATCCAGCTCATCTCCTCCTGCATGTCATCCATTTTGGCCTGAACATTGGCGTACAGCTTGTTCTCCATCTTCATGCTCTGCATGTGGTTCATATATCGGTTGTAATAGTGCAGATATCGAGCCATCGAAGAGCGATACTTCTGCTGAGCAAGCCGGGCCTGTTTGGCCTCCTCCTCGTCGAAGCGATTGCAGCTGTACCAGGACGAACCATGTGGCTCCCAGGATCCCAGGCACACCCAGCAGAAATCATAGCGGCAGGATGGATTCTTGCAGACCATATGATTGCAGCCACCATCCTTCTCAATGGTCACATTGCATTTGGGACACTGCTTGGTGTTCTGGGCAATCCAATTGGATGTTTCCGAATCCTCAAGGCATTTTTTGAGCCACTTTTTAAGGGAGCTACAGCTGGCCGGTTCATGCCAATTCTCCCCACAGGCAAAGCAAAACTGATGGCCACATTTGCAGTGAACCGCTCGTGGTTCGGCACAAATGGCCTTGATGGCATGGGTGCAATTGGGGGCTGGACACCATCTCATCAGTATGTTGCACTCCACAAAGGTATTGGTTATGAGCTGCTGATAACGCTCCACAACCTCGGGATCATCGGCCAGTTTCAGGAAGGATACATAGTCCACCAGGATATCGCAGTTGGTGGCTGGACACTTGATGGTATTGGCCAAGCCCTCGCTGCACGTCTTGTTGGCCAAGTATTGTTTCCAGCAGGCGGCGCAAAAACTGTGACCACAACCCAAGCCCTTGAGCTCCTCACAAGGACAAAAGCAAATCCCGCAGAACTTTTGCGAGGCGGAGGATGTGGACACTATGCTTTCTGAATCCAGATCACTCTTCTGCTCGAAGGGATTCACCACATGGGCGCGCTGGAAAAAATCGTTTGGACTACTTTCGAAATAGTTCTCAAACAGCCGCTCCTTGTCCCACTTGAAGTGATTGAGTATAATTCGGGTGACCTGCGGCGATAGATTCAGGACATTGTTCACCTCATCGATGATGTTGCGCTGGTGCTGAACGATCTGGTCCACAGAGAGGACCTTGTAGATAAAGTCATCATCGGGATTCCGAGTGGGACTTTCCGGCAAAAGAATTTCCGTGCAAGTATCCTCGCTGTCGCTGTCAAAATTTCCGCAACTCATGTGACTGTGTAGAGAGCGATGCGAGTCACCGTGATCTTCATCCGAGTATTCCGAGTCGGAGTTCATATTACCAGCATGTGGGTTGTATTGTATCTGAATGTATCTCACCACAGCCCTACAACATTTGGAGCTGATAGGATGGGGACTCTTGACAACAAAGCAACAACAATCACAGCAACAACGTTTCTCAGACCACGTGTCGATTGAAGGAATATTGATTGTGTATTTAATGTGATGAAATGTTGTATTTTCTTCGTTTCCTACTGAAGACTGAACCTACTCTGTTGACACTTGTCAACACTTTCGTTTTTTGGTAACTTTTACTTCTGATTTAGCTTAGATTTCCTTTTTAGTACGGGCACACTAAAAAAGTGGTGCTACCAACCTTCAGGGATGTCGTTTTCCTTAAGGTGTTATTTCAGCTTACTGAACCATTGGCCAAACTAAATCACTTCATTATCGGGAGCAAGAACCAGTACCAGAACCAGATAAAAGATAGATAAAAATGGTGTGGAAACTAGTTAAGTCAAGTTATGGAGTTCAGTTTTGGGGCTCCATTCTAGAAACACAGAAATATCAGACATGAAAATATGCTAAATTTTGACCCTCTTTTAAAATAACGATTTGAATGCATATTATTAAATAATTCAATTTCAAACTCATAGAGGTATCCCACGTCCAAATCGGTTTCCAATATCTCAAGTTATGGAATCTAGAAGTTTAGTTTTGGGGTCCCATTATGGAAGTCACTGGAAATAGAGTGAAATCGGACATGAAAATAGTCTAAAATTTTGACCCTCTTTAAAGGGAACCATTTTAATGCAGATTATAAAAGAATTCAATTACAAACTCATAGAGGTATCCCACGTCTAAATCGGTTTACAATAACACAAGTTATGGAATCTGGAAGTTGAGTTTTGGGGTCCCATTCTGGAAGTCATCGGAAATACTGAAAAATCAGACATGAAAATGGGCTAAAATTTTGAACCTCTTTTAAAGCAACACTTTGAATGCAGATTATAAAAGAATTCAATTACAAACTCATAGAGGTAACCCACGTCTAAATCGGTTTACAACAACACAAGTTATGGAATCTGGAAGTTGAGTTTTGCGGTCCCATTCTGGAACTCATTGGAAATACTGAAAAATCAGACATGAAAATGAGCTAAAATTTGGACCCTCTTTTAAAAGAACAATTTGAACGCAGATTATTTAAGAATTCAATTACAAACTCATAGAGGTATCCTACGTCTAAATCGGTTTTCAATAACAAAAGTTATGGAATTTAGAAGTTGAGTTTTGGGGTCCCATTCGGAACTCATTGGAAATACAGAAAAATCCGACATGAAAATGGGCTAAAATTTGGACCCTCTTTTAAAAGAACAATTTGAATGCAGATTATTTAAGAATTCAATTACAAACTCATAGAGGTATCCCACGTCTAAATCGGTTTACAACAACACAAGTTATGGAATCTGGAAGTTGAGTTTTGGGGTCCCATTCTGGAAGTCATCGGAAATACTGAAAAATCCGACATGAAAATGGGCTAAAATTTGGACCCTCTTTTAAAAGAACAATTTGAATGCAGATTATTTAAGAATTCAATTACAAACTCATAGAGGTATCCCACGTCTAAATCGATTTACCATAACACAAGTTATGGAATCTGGAAGTTGTGTCTTGGGGCCCCATTCTGGAAGTCATCGGAAATACTGAAAAATCTGACATGAAAATGGGCTAAAATTTTGACCCTCTTTTAAAGAAACACTTTGAATGCAGATTATAAATGAATTTAATTACAAACTCATAGAGGTATCCCACGTCTAAATCGGTTTACAATAACACAAGTTATAGAATCCTGAAGTTGAGTTTTGGGGTCCCATTCTGGAAGTCATCGGAAATACTGAAAAATCAGACATGAAAATGGGCTAAAATTCAGACCTTCTTTTAAAGCAACACTTTGAATGCAGATTATAAAAGAATTCAATTACAAACTCATAGAGGTATCCCACGTCTAAATCGGTTTACAATAACACAAGTTATGGAATCTTGAAGTTGTGTTTTGGGGAAGTCATCGGAAATACTGAAAAATCAGATATGAAAATGGGTTAAAATGTTGTCCCTCTTTTAAAGAAACACTTTGAATGCAGATTATAAAAGAATTCAATTACAAACTCATAGAGGTATCCCACGTCTAAATCGGTTTACAATAACACAAGTTATGGAATCTGGAAGTTGAGTTTTGGGGTCCCATTCTGGAAGTCATCGGAAATACTGAAAAATCAGACATGAAAATGGGCTAAAATTTGGACCCCCTTTTAAAGAAACACTTTGAATGCAGATTATAAAAGAATTCAATTACAAACTCATAGAGGTATCCCACGTCTAAATCGGTTTACAATAACACAAGTTATGGAATCTGGAAGTTGAGTTTTGGGGTCCCATTCTGGAAGTCATCGGAAATACTGAAAAATCAAACATGAAAATGGGGTAAAATTTTGACTCTTTATTAAAAGAACAAAATTATTTAAAAATTCAATTACAAATTCATAGAGGTGACACACGTTTAAGTCGGGATCCAATGATTGAAGTTAAGGAATCTATAACTTTAAATTTGGGGTGCCAGTCTGGAATCATTGAAAATTCGGATAAATTGGTTAAGTCATTTTAATGGAGAATTTAATAGAGTTCAATCGCAAAGTCAAAGAGGTATCCCACGTCTCGAAATATTGAAATATAACTATTTTGTGCGAAATATGAAGACACTCTATGCCTACATTTTCTTTATTCGGCGTTAGCCTGGATTTTACGTTTATGCATTTTTCAGAATCAGGCGTTTTTAGTTCTGAGTTGAGAGACCATCCAAATGCATTTGGCCTGCGCTTTCAACGCGTTCTCACATGCACACTAAAAGCTTTTCGGGGTATATATTTTTTCATAACCCCTTCGTGGCATAAAACAGAACAAAGCAATGTCTCAAGTGGCAAGGGTAAGGCACGTAAATAAAAAAGAGGAATAAAATCCAGGAAAAAAACTCATACATGCGATATGTGAAATGAAAGTGAACGAGCGAACAAGGATAATGGCGGCCAGAAAGGGACGGAAGACGGACGAGAGAGAGGGTAATGAGTGTGCATAATGCAGATGCAGATGCAGGATCCCCGTCCAGGATCCCAGGAGCAACCCAATCCAGCCCATCTCCAGCACTCATTGAACAAACGGGCTCAATCTGCCATGCCGAGATGCACTTGGGTATAAGTACACTAGGAAAAAAGCTAATAATTTTAAGTTTAATTAAGGAAAGTTAATTAAAAATTCAATTTATAGATCTATCTTTTATAATTACATATGGCATCAGATTAAAATTGGGAAGATTTAAATGAATAACTAATCCAATAAGATTAAAAATTTAGTACTTGAAACTTTGGTAATAATTAATATTTAAAATATTATTTTAGTTAAAAATAAAAAGTCAAGTTAATATATATTACAAATCAAATACTTACAAAGTTGTACCCAAAAAAATTACCAAATGTCCAAAATTTTAAACATTTTTTAAGGAATATTTCTTCTTAAAAAGGGAATATAAATTTATAAATTGTTTGAGGAAACATAATTTTCCTAAGTGTTCCCGATTTTGTATACGTGAGTATATGCATTTATAGAGGAGAAACATACATCGTGGTCATGGGTCTGCCTTTGCCTTTATTTCTTTCCTTCCCTCCCTGCATTTATTTTTGTTGTATTTTTTATTTAAAACAAAAGCCGCATAAAACCCGCCAAATACAGTGGCCCGTTCCAGGATACAAAAAAAAAAAGTAAAGCGAAAAGAACTGGCAAAAATCATTACAAATAAAAATGCAAAGTCGCCAAAACAGCAAATGCAGCCTCGAAATCCCTTTCATCAGTCTGCAGGGTTGGAGATCCACATTCTCGCCCTCTTTTTTTTTCCATCCAACATCTTTTCAAGTCACAGCCAAATTACAAGAAATCCTTTCGTGCGCGTGAATGCTTTGGTGGAAAATGCGGAAAAGGAAATAATTTGACCATTTGCTGGAGAAAAAGGCAAATGGAAAAAGAAGGATCGGAGGTGGGCGGCTGCCAACGACTGGGGCGTGGCCTGGGTCACATGTGGAAAATTTCAAGAATCTCTCCTGCTGCCCCATGCAAATGCAATGGCAACAAAGATGCGCCACTTATTGGCCACGACGCTTTATCATTGCCAATCGCGTCGAGAGAGGCCGAAAGAAATGGCCAACTCCGATGATGATGGTCAACAGCGATGGCCCTGTGACGTGACCACGCCAGAAGACCAAAAGCCTGCCCGATGATGATGCCAATTAGCTGATAGGCCAAGCCAACAATCCCGGCCAGGCCAACTAGCATTTCCCTGCGCCTACTTAAAGTTCACTGGGAAAAATTGTTGATAATTCTCAAAGATAGTTACAATAAGTTATATGTATAATAAATTGTCGAATTTAAAACCAAGTTTTGGTTAGAACAGTGAGGACTATTTCAAGCCCCTCCGGAAACAAAAAGGATTTACTGATTTTATAAATATTTAGGGTTTCTAAAATAAGGGATTATATTCTCAACTTTAATTTAATAATATTTGATAATTTTAAGATGTGTTTAAACTTACTACTACTTACGTAGGTAAAAATATAGATTATACACCTTTGTAGAGTTTGTAAAATATGATCTTAAAATTTTTGAAAGCCCACCTATTTTCCCCCGTGCATTTTATGTGCCTGCAACTATTTGCTGCGAAATATTCTTGGGAAAAATTTCTCCAGCTCCCCAAACGGTTTTGTGGCCAAAAGGATGTTCGCTTGGAAATTCATGTAAATTAGCCAGGTAATTACAAGCTTTATATCAGCGGCAAACGGATGTATGCTGATCGCGGCGATAAATGCGTTCGCCCGCTTCTCGCATTATAATTACACTCTCGTCTGGTATTGTGTAGTCGATTTGAAAAGCAAAAATTAGCTGGAAATCAACGAGCATGAAGCGCCGACACTGTGGAAGAAAATCAACGCTCGGAACTAATTTGATTTTGATGCGACGGGGCCCAGAGAAATGATATAGAAGAATGCGCGTATAAAGCCGGGCTCTCGAACTCATAATCAAGTCGCGGTGAGGCATGAGTTATTACATTAACGGTTCGCATGGACAGCTGGATTTATGTTTTCTCTGCGCCATTGATCGACCTTGACTAGCGTTTTAACAGTAGCCGGCCAGCGATGAATTCATATTAATTATATACGAAA